CGCCTAAGGGCTTGAAGAGACTGAGACTTAACAGGGGCACGGGAGGGCAGAGGGGACCGTCACCGAAGCATGCCTGGCAGCGGTCAGCGCATCACCAACGTGGTCACGCAAAGTGGGTGATTCGGGTAACCTGTCGCCACACAGCCAATTTGTGAGAGAGGGGAGAGTGAGAATATTTGTTAAGGACTAGTATCCCAGAGGGGAGCCCTGGGACCTAGTGGATTGTGCATTGGGCTGCTAGCTGCAAGGCCAGAGGTTCAAAACCACCAGCCCCTCTGCAGGAGGAAGATGAGCTTTCTACTTTGGTAGAGATTTAGTCTCTCAAACCCACAGGGGCACCAGGGGTTCTACTGGGCCCTACTGGGTTGCTGTGAGTCAGCCTCGGCTCAGCGGCAGTGACCTGAGTACCCAGGAAGACAGCCTGGACCATATCATCACAATCTGCTTCTTTGAGCAACAGGTTAAGGTTTTAGTCAGGGCTTGGGCCAGGGGTCTTCTGGAGCGGTCTGGCCAGGAGGTAGGCTGTCTGGTTCTCAGAAAGCTTTTTGCTTGGAGGGGCGTGTCTGCAGTCCAAGTGCAGATGTTGTGAGCGGAGTTTCTGCCATTCGGATGGAGGAGGAGAGCAAAGGTGTGCTAGTCCATCGTGAGTTCTAACAGAATCCAGATTAGAACCAAAGGGGAGCAGAGCACAGGACGCTTCAGCCAAGCGCTGCACATCCCTGTTCCGGCTCCAGGTACAGTTGGCCCAGCCCTGTCTTTCCCATGGAGATTCTTTTAACCTCACTGCTAAATGGAAACAGCAGGGGGTTGCTGGTTCATCCTGAATTCCAGCAGGATGGCAAGATTGAAGCAGAAGGCAGGCAAAGTAGGGGAGATACAGGGCAGCAGCAGGTGAGGCTACAGAAGGTGAAACAGCACCGAGAGTGGACACATCTGTTAAAAGAGTTTCCAAGAGAGGTTCAGGGCCTACCGGCAAGGCAGTGAGAGCATGACTCTTGTCTGTAAGCCCCCCTGTAAGGTGATCTCCATCAAGGACACCCCTGGGCAAGCCCCTAAGGGAGGCTGCCCCTTCGGGCTGGCTGGAGAGGGGTGGATCCGGGTCATGTGCTTTCTAATGCACTCTGCCTTAGGGCGAGACTGTTCCAACCCTTGGTTCCAGTGGAAGGCGTCAAATCCCTTTGGGGACTGTGCAGATGGATTTGGGGCATTCATTGTCCCCCATTGCCCTCTGCGAACACGTTGCTCAGAATTTAGGCTCTACAACATTTGGCGATCCTCTTCCTGTTTACCCTCCTCTTCTTCCTTCCTCCCTTCCTTCCATTTGCCTATCACACCACCTCCTTTCCTCCAAGCCCCCTTTAAAAAGGACCTGTGGCCTAACCTAGAGGGCCCCTGGTGGCATCGTGGGCTGCGATCCGTATGGTTGGCAGTTCAAAACCACAAGCAGCTCAGCGAGAGAAAGACTGGGCTTTCTCAGTCTTTCTGGGTCAGCATGGACTCAATGGCGGTGAGTTTGGGTTTTCTGGTTGGTCCTAACCTAGTGCCCAGTCCTGCCTCCGAAGAGGCACCCCCACTTCTCCTCCGTGTCAGCCCTTGATGGACCATACAACATTGGGCTTTGGCAAGGTCACTAAACCCATTTCGACAGGAGTCAGGCAGTGCCAGAAATGAGGGGAGCGTGGTGGCCCCTGTGGGACATAGGGGAGTGGTGGGGTCTGTGGAAAATGGGGAGCGCCGATCTTGCAGAAAGAGCTTTGCAGCAGTCCACCTTCAGATAAATGTCTCTGCATCAGGTAGCTTTTCTGCATAGCAGGCCACTCCGGAACATAGTAATTTTAAACCAAGCATTTCTTTTGTGACCTTCCCCCCCCCCCCCCAGTGTTCTCTCACGTGCCTGAGATCAATGGCGGATCTGCTTTGCTGATTTCAGCTTGGATCTCAGGTGTCTGGGACACAAAGCTGACTCAGCCCTGGTCACATGGCATCTCATTTTCCATCCGGAGCGCTTGTCACGGGGTGGTCACAGGAAACACTTCTTATCAGCAGGGCTTTTGAGCTCCTCCCGTCCTGGCTTCCTTGTGTTTGTGATCACAGGTTGCTTTCCGAAAGCTGGCTAACTGGGGGGTTGGATAAAAGATACCAGTCAATTAGATTCTGTGGTTCCAAAATCCATGCTGCTACTGAGGGGTGCCGGTTCCCTTTATCCCACTCCTTAAACAGTGCTGCCCCTGGGGGCCAAGGATCCCGTCTAGCAGCACCAGGCTGAGGGCCTCACAGTCCTGGCGGTGGAGGCGGCATCAGGGGTGTCTGAAGGCACCTGCAGTTCCCAAAGGAGGGCTTAGGTGGCAGTGTTTGGAGAAGGCAATACCTGCTTCATCTGCTCTTTTTGTTTGTTTTAAATACAAAAGCAAAACATGCTCACTGTAAAGAGAGACAGAGCGCGAAGACCCAAATACTACATTGTGTCTAAAAGTCTCACTCCCTGGTTTCTCATGGCCCATCTCTCTCCCAGTAGGTAACATTTTCCTTCCAGATCTTTCTTCCGTGTGTTTACAGACAGAGAGAGCAGAGGAGCTTGGGTACTAATTTTTCAAGGGAAGCCCTTGAGTGGTGAACAGAAATTAATGCGCTCCGCTGCTCACCAAGAGGTTGGCAGTTCAAGTTCGTGCTCAGGCACTCCGAAGAGCTACCTGGAGGTCTGCTTGAAAACCCTGCGGAGGAGCCTGGGTAGACTCTGGTCCACGCGGAGGCACCATGAGCGGGAGTCCATTGATGGCCGCTGGCTGTCGATGCCTATGTCTAGGGGCTTTGCTTCTGAGCAGCGTGTGCAGAAGAGAAGGGATGACAGCGAGAGCCCGACTCCCACTGGCAGAGCCCCTTTGGATGGAGCCTTGGCTGACTTCCAGCTGACCGTTGACCAGAGAGCGAGCAGCCTCGCCCTCAGGCAGAGTGCCCTGGAAAGTGATTACCTCCATTCCCTCCGGCCAGCCCAGGGAGGGCAGTCAGCCTCAGGGGCTTACCCGAGTGTGTCCTGGATGGGGATCAATTTGCTGGGTGGGAGGTGTGTTAGGGGTGCAGTAGTCATGAGCCCTGTCCTATGAGCCATGCCCTGATTGCCTTGTTCTAATATGTACGTGTTCCCACCGTGGTCCCACTGCCGTTCTGTGGTCCCACCTGTAACTGTGCTGCACTGATCTCCACCAGTCAGGACTGTGTGACAGTGTGCTGTGTGCACACACCTGCTTTCAGTAGTGGCATTATGACCTCATGATACTGGTTTTCCTCATCCACTTGATGCATCTTGGTCTCAGTCTTGTCTTTGTCCTGTTAAAACTTAGTAAATTCTTTCCTTCAGTTATATTTGGGATTTGGGGGACTCTTTTATACCCTAAAATTATAATGTATGCTGTTCTAGAACTTGCTTTTTCACTTAAACAGGGTCGTGAACTTCCTATCGGTGGAATCTTATGGCACATAGCCTTGTCAAACTGACTGCTTCCCTTTGGTGACAAGGGGTTCAAGCTCCTCCACTGCCTTTCTTATGGCTCCACTTTGTACGATCATGAAAAGCTGCCGAATAGGCTCTACTGTGATCCTTGCTATTGGGCTGCTAGCTGCAAGGTCAGCAGTTTGAAACCAGCAACTGGTCCGCAGGAGAGGGGGCTGTCTACTCCAGTGAAGAGTGACAGTTCCGTTCTGTTCTATAGGGTCAGTACGAGTCAGATTCGGTTCAATGGCAGTGCGTAGCTGTATTAGTCTAGGTACAAAGAAAATGTGCATCACGAAAACATCCCAACCCAATGCTGCCCAAGCCCACAAGTCCAATATTAACCCATTAACCCAACACCAGTCCACAAAGTCCTCCACCTCACAAAACAGAGGCAATGATGCCGACTGCAGGAGGAAAGCTGAGTCAGTGAACGTGTAAGCATCTCAGCACTGGCAGGGGTCTCCACATGGCTGCTCCAGCACCCAGGGCAGCATCGGGATAGATCCATGCGGCTTCTCCTTGGGGATGTCTTGTAGGAAGTCAATCTTGCAAGCTGAAGCAGGGAACTGCTAAGGCAGCTGCACCCGGTGCAACCATCACAAAACAAGAGACCTGAGAACTAGAAAGGCGAGGCTCACCACCCATTTATTCCTCCGCCTTTCAATTAGCCCCACATGTGATTATCGGCCAGGCTGGCACAATTAACTAACTCAGTAGCCCTGGCTCAGGTGAGCTGCTATTTCTGCAGATGATTTCTGAGTGGAATTGATGGAGCCCAGAGTGTGTACATTTCACACATCCCAAACGGTTCTCCAAAAAGATCTATTCTGTTGATTCTCCTATAAACGGGCCAGTTTCCTCAAGGGCGTACAACTCTGGGGGCTTTTCTCAAACGTGGTTGCAAGTTTTTTGAGTTACGTCGGCTCCCTGAAAGGACAAATATTTGGTCCAAATGCTTAGAGCTATACTGCCAGCTGCTGCCCTTTGTCTGTGGTGCCTCCTGGGAATGTGGACGACGGCCAGCTTCTTAGTCCCTGGCCTTCTCATTTGTGATGTGGGTTGTCCTCAGTTGCCTCTTCCTCTTGGACGGTAAGCCCAGAGGGCAGAGTTTCCCCTCTACCTGCCAAGGGTTCCCAGCTCCGTGAACATCCCAGAGGGTCAGTGCACGTATGTCCTTCCAGGCAGTCCCAGTGCTCTGGTTGGACCCAAACCACCAGGGTTTCCAGTAGTAGCCAAGCACGGTGGTTGATACTGCCTGAGTCACCATCTGACATTTAGACCTTCTGACTGTGGATGACATAATCGAGGATGCCTTACCACACCCAAACCAGACTCGCTGCCATCGACCCATTTCGACATTTATTTGGTGGGACTGGCACCGCAATTCAATTTCTCAAATGCAAGGATTGCAGGACTCACGGCCATCAAGTTGATTCTGACTCATAGGACCCCGTAGGACAGCGTGAAACTGCCCCTGTGCGCTTCCAAGACGGTCTCTTCACGGGAGTAGCACACCCGTCTTTTTCACGAGGAGTGCTGCTGAGTTTGAACTGCTGACCTTGTAGGATAGCAGCCCGATGTGTAATCACTATGATGCCAGGACTCCTTCCAGGGATCACACAGGGTGTTAAACAGCAGGGCTGGGAAGAGAGTCCAGGCCCCTTGTAGCTCCAAGGATGGGCTTCCTCTGACTAACACCAGCTTCTCCTTCAGGCCGCAAGCCGGACCTTCCGGGCTCAGCTTCTTGCTGGTAAGCCCTCTGCAGAGGGTGACCAAATACCCTCTGCTGCTGCAGAAAGTTCTGGAAAACACGCCCCCAGACGCCCAGGCCCGCTCTGTCCTCCAGAGAGCGACGTCCGCCCTGCAGCAAGTCAACACCAACATCAACGAGTACAAGATGCGCAAGGACGTGGGTAAGCGCGTGGACATCGAAGGTGATACCCCCTCCACTCACAGAAAGCTCGTGTCCAGCTGGTTTCATCAGGAACGGGAATGTAGACCCGCTGCCATTGCTTGGGTTGTTGCCCACTCCTGACCACCCTGTATAGGGTTTCCGAGGCTGTCAGTCTTTATGGGAGCAGGCAGCCTCACTTTCTCCTATGGTGCGGCTGGTGGGTTTGAACTGCAGACTTTGTAGATAGCAGCCCAACACTTTCCCGGCAACACCCCCTGAGCATGTAGTGGCTTGTATAATCACAAGCCTGCAGATAATGTGGGCTTTTCTTAGGGATGAATCAGGTGCTGACTCCACTTCCCTCGGCTTCTCTGGGATCTCATCGTCTGTGTGGGTCCGCTTTGACTTCCGGCTGACTTCTCTCATCCTAGTAAATCACTGTTTTGGTTCTAAGACACATCTTTACCCCACACCCACTCCCCTTAGTCATCAAAACTTCATCTGAGCTTCATCATGATAGGATACATGCTTGAGTCATCTCCTCACCCGCACCAATCACCATGGTTAGGAACATGCCCTGCAGGTGCTGACGGGCTTAGGCCTGGGTTTGGGGCCCTACCCAGAACCCGTCACTGTGGCCAGGCAGGGGAGTGTATTCATTGGCTTGGCTCCTATCAGTCAGCACCCTTCCTGTGAGCCAAGTGAGATCCAGCCCATCCAAGCCACAAGGCTGTTGCACCAGGGAAGGGAAATGAAATGGATGATGGGGGGGAGTGGGGGGGGGTTCAGGGGCCATAGAATCAACTCTGACCCACAGACACCCTGTGCACAACAGAACAAACACTGCCTGGTCCTGCACCAGCTTCACAATTGCTCCTTTGTCTGAGCCCATTGTGTCAGTCCATCTCCGTGAGGGACTTCCTGTTTTCTGCTGCTCCTGTACTTTACCAAGCATGCTGTCCTTCTCCAGGGACTAATCGTTCCTGACAGCATGTCCAAAGTACAAGAGATGAAGTCTTGTTTTCCTTGCCTCCAAGGAGCGCTGTGGTCTTACTTCTTTCAAGAGACTTGTTTGTCCTTTTAGCAGTCCATGGTGCTTTCAATATTCTTCTCCAGCACCACAATTCAAGGACATCGATTCTTCTTCACTCTTCCTGATTCACTGTCCAACCATCACATGCATATGAGGCGATTGAAAATACCATAGCTTAGACCTCAAAGCAACATTCTTGCATTTCAACACTTCAAAGAGGTCTCGCCACCACTTGTCTGTCAATTTGTCATACAGCGGTGGCTCGTGTGTGGCTGTGCTGCCGGGGGCTCTGTCACTGGTGTTTCCAATGCCGGCAGGGTCCCCCAGGGTGAGCAGGTCTCAGCGGAGCTTCCAGACTGAGAACAGACAGGGAAGAAGGGCTGGCTCTCACTTTGGAGGAGAAGCCACTGAAAACCTTGACAACATGACAGCAGCAAGGGGCTCAAAGAGGAACAATCCTG